CCCAACCTGAATGACTGATCTGTACTCCAAGAAGCTGGATCCCACGGCACTTAAACTAGCAGCAGCAATCGCTCGGCGGCAGTCCAACAAATAAAAATACCACGCACCACACGCCACTCTCAAAGCACCGTTCTCACCTACAACCATCAGCATGTTGCTCCGTGACAAAGGCAGGCCCTGAAGGCCGCGCGGCCGACCGACGTGGGCGGGGCCGGCGCGCGGCACGCAGTGCCACCTACCTGACTGTGCATCCGCTCAACTCGCACGGCGCCGGTGGTCACATCGCGCACGGCCCGCACCGCGTCGCTGGTGACGCCCGTCTCGCCGGACACCACGCTCCGCTTGGTCACGGTCTGCACGATCAGCGGCGGCGCCGGCCGCCCCCCGCCCTCCGCCTCGGCGTCCGACGAGCTGGACGAGCCCCGACGCCGACGAGCGCTTCTTCTTTCTGGCCTTGCTCTTGTCCTTCTTGCTGCGCCTGTCGGCCTCGGCGGCGGCGGGCGCGGTGAGCACCGTCTCCGACTCGAGCGTGCTGTCCAGGTCGGCCGCCGGTCTGTCCGCCTCCCTCCAGCTCCTCCTGCCGTCCTCCGCCCTGCCGCCGTCCTTCTGCGGCGTGGGCTCGGGCGCGTCCGCCTCACTCTCCGAGGGTCGCTTCTTGCCGAAGCGGCCAAACAGGCCGCCTGACTTGGGCTTCTTGGTCGGCGGAGCGCTATCGTTCGCCGGCGGACTGGACGCCGGCGCGGCGGGCGGAGAGGCCGGTCCGGCCGCCATGCTGGCCAAGAACGCACTGCGCTGGTCGGCGGCGCCCGCCGGCGGCGGCGGATCGACCAGCGCGTCGTGTGTCATGGCGCGGTCAGGCGAGCCGGGCGCCACGCCCGGCGCGTAGTTGAAGGCGGTGGCTGGCGCGTGGTGGGCGACACCGACTGTCGCTCGCGCTGTCGCTCCACCGAGCCGCCGCGGCCGCGTTCGTAGGTGAAGCCCAGCTGCGAGGGCGGCACGGGCCGGCGCGCCGCCTCGCCGGACTCCTCGTACGTGTAACTGCGCGTGTGGCCGGCCGGGCCAGCGGCGAACGCCGACGGCGAGGCGGCGCCCGGCCGGCGCGGCTCGCTCTCGTAGTCGTGCACGGCTGCGTCGGCGTAGCCGGGCGGCGCGCCGCGGCCCAGCGACTGGTACGCCGGCGGCGAAGCGCGCGCCTCGGCGGCCACGCCCACCTGCCGCCGCCAGGGCACGTCACAGGCGCCCGGACCGGATCGGACGGCGGCGCCGGCGCAGGCACAAGGCAAAGCACGTCTAGGTGGAAAACTAGATATGTACACCGAATGCAAAACTAAACAGGGAACAACCATGCAACCAGACCGTCCAAGCCTCAGTGGGGGGGGGGGGGGGGGGGGGGGGCGGTCAAATGGAAATAATCATTACATAAGAAACCGGATCCGGTCATGTGCAGCAATACTCATACTGAAGCTATGTGAGGGTTGCTCCTGCCAATGCCACTCCTCAGCTACAACGCACATGTATGCCGTCGACACCATTCCGGGTCCGTGGGGGCCGCGCTCATGCCGTGGAAGAGTGCGGGGACCATGTGGGACCGCTGTCCCACCTGTACAGTGCGGCCGGACCCCTGCACACCCCGGCCATCGGCCGCGGCCCGCGGCGGGGGACGGGGAGGGGGGGTGGGGGGGGCGGCACTCACCGGAACCTCGTCGCGGTCTTCCTGCGCGCCTTGCCGAGGTCGACTGGCGGCAGCACGGCCACGCCGCCCACAGGTCTCTGCCGGCGCGGAGCAGGCGGGTCAGGACACACACGACCGCCGCCCCCAAATAGGGCCCACGGGGCCACAGCGCCAACCAGGGGCTGTAGTCAGAAGGACGCGGCGGGGGCATCAGCGGAGACCATTGACGTTGGGTTATGCGAGAGGGAGGACAACTAGTCTGAGGCGTGCTTCACCACGACGAACGTAATGCGCGGGAAGTCTGAAATTGTGTGACATTCCAATCAGGTATTTCAAGAAAAGCAACTCAAAATGAGCAATGTAATGAAACAGCCGATGCCTGTGCAATAGAACCCAATACAACCATCGTGCTGCGAGTCGCGACAGTGACAACATTAGGGCAACATTAAAACAGCATTTGGCTTCAGCCAACCCAGGTCGGCGGCAAGCCCAGGCAAACAGACCAACAACACACCATGCAAAGCATGAACAAAACGTTGGCGGGCGAACAAGCATTGCCACCTTATCCAGGCCACAGTGCGACGAACCGGCCGCCATGCAGCACGCATGGACGGACATGGCCACGTGGAAGCGAGCACGCCTCCCGTACCAAGGCCGGGCTCCGCCCCGCTGGGGCTGGGCCAGCTGGGGCGGAGCCCACCCCGACCGACCACGGCGCCACGTGACCTGGGCAAGCAGGAGCCGTCCCCCAGCGGTAGCAACAAGCCACGGTCTGGGCCGACGCGCCGCGCCGCCGCTGAGTCAGCCCCAGGAGACGGTGCCTGCGACCGGAGGCCGGTCGCAACAGGCGCGCCGCGGGGGGGGGGCCCGCGCCTGGGGACTACCCCTCCGCCCTCGAACAGCCCATCCAGCGCCTTCGCGACGGTGCCCGGCGCGGCGCCGTCCGAGGCGGCGCAACAGACGGGGACGGCAACAAGTCGGGCCATTCTCGGTCCGGAGGAGAGCGGTCTGAAGACGGGATACCGGACCAGCGGCGGGCGCGGCGTACCACGACGGACATCGACCATCTACGGACGGCGGACCAGCTGCGGCATGGCGGAACCAGCGCAGACTGCTGACAGTCCCCTTGGACCAGGACCGGACAAGCTGGCCCGGCGGCCGCGCCTCTACCTTGTCGTACTCGTAGCCGCCGCGGCTGCGGCTGCGGCTCTGCTGGAGCGGGGTTGTGTGCGCGGGCGGCAGAGGCGGCGCCTCGTTCGCGTACAACGGCTTCCCCCCGGCCCGGCCGCCCACTGCGCGCCCAGCTGCTCATAGCGCTCCAGGTCGTGGCCCGGGTATCCAGTGACGTTGCCGTAGAAGTAGCCCCCCCGCCGACTGGGCGGGCCGGCCGGCAGACGCGGCGTTGGTCGGGTAGCCATCGCTGTCGACGCTGCCGTCCCACTGGTTCGGGTAGGCTGCAGCGACGCCGGACCACGCCCCCTCGTGCGGCGCCTGAACGACGCCACTCGGCTCATAAGGAGCCGGCATCTGGTCACCCTGGTCGTAAGGAGACGACATCTGACCACTCTGGTCGTACGGAGCCGACATCTGACCACTCTGGTCGTAAGGAGACATCTGACCGCTCTGGTCGCTAAGGAGCCGACATCTGACCACTCTGGCCGTAAGGAGCAGACACTGGTGCGGTCTGGTGACCATAGGCGGTCGTCGACCTGGACATGCTGGTCGTAAGGCATCAACATCGGCCCACCCTGGCCGTAACCCTCGCTCTGCCAATCGTACGGCAACCCCACCCTGTCCTTGAATGCCTTGCTCATTAATACGGTGCTTTATCGAAGTCGTAGGAGGGCCTTCTATCGAAGCTCTGAGCGTGGAGAATCCCTCCTCGGCCAGCCTTGGGAGTACAGCGGTCCGCTGCGGGCGGCCGGGCCCGGCTCCTTCCGCCGCCAGGTGGTGCGGCTGTGCCGCCGCCACCTCCAGCTCCTCCTGGTACACCGCTCTGGTAGGCAGCCGGATGCGCGGCGCCCAGGTCAAGCGCGTCGCCGGCCGACAGACGCGGGCGGCGGCGAGTTGGGGCCGGCGGGGCCGCGCGCGCGCCGCCTGCACCCCCAGCGGCGGCGGCATGGTGGGGCAGCGGCGGTGGCGCGACCGCGAACGGCGGTGGCGGCCGTGGTCAGCGGCGCCGGCAGCGTCGACCACGACGGCTGCGTGTCCGTCGTCGGCAGCCGCCGACTGCGGCACGGGAGGCGGCGGGCGGCGAGCCAGGCGGCGGCGGCGGCGGCGCCGTGCGGCGGCCGTGGCACGTCGTGCGCCATCGGCGAGCGACACGCCTGGTCGAACGGCGGCGGCCCCTCCGCCGAGATGAGCGACGGCGAGCGGACGTCGAGCGCGCCGTCGGACGGGTCGAACCACGGCTCGCCGCCGACCGGCCGGTGGTACGGCCGCGGGTACAGCGCCCGGCCGTCGATGACGTGCGGCGGCGGCTGCGGCTCCAGGATCAGCGCCGAGTCGGAGCCAACGGCCAGCGGCGGCTCCTGCGGTGGCCCCAGCGGCTCCGACTCCAGCTCCGGCTCCGGCTCTGGTTCCGGCTCCGCTCGGTCGCGGCTGCGACCGCGGCCCAGACGCGACAGGAGGCGGCCACCGATGCCGGCCCGCTTGGCCGGTCGTTCCCTGACCTCTGCCTCCATGGAGGCCGGCTGAGCGACGGGGATGACCTGGCGCGCCACCGTGCGGACGTACAGACTCTCCTCAGCCTCCTCAGGCGGCGGCGGCGGCGGCTCGGCGTCGCGCGGATGAGACAAAGCGGCGTCCGGGCGCGGCACTACCTCCGCGGCCGACTCATCATCCAACGACGTCACCACCCTTCACCACTGAACTGTCAAGCAACGATGACTTGTCCTTCTTGCGGAACAGGCGTGGGCTCTTCCAGAAGCTCTTCTTCTTCTCGGCGGCGCTCTTGTCGTCCAGACTACCGAGTGACTTGTGCAGACGGTCCGCGTCGTCCTTCGCTTTTCCGTCGTCGTCCGCCCTTTCCTTCTTGCCGAACGGATACCAGCTCTTCCTGCGCTCCTTCTTCTCGTCGTCCTGTGCCGGGGTGGCCGCCGCCGGCTCGTCGCCGTCCAGGTCGCCGGAGAGCTGCTGGACGGCGTCCAGGTCGGCTGCGGCTAGCGTCGAGTCGGCCTGGTCCTCCCTCGTGAGAAGCTCGCACGAGAAGTCCGACAGATGAGCGTCGCCGGCGCTGTCGAAGCCGTCTGAGTCCCTTTTGCGTGTGTCGAGAGATGGCGGGACCCGGTGGCCACTGCTGGTCGCGTCATCTGTCGGCGAACTATGCACTTCAGCAGTCGCTGTCAGCGACGGTCTGCGCTTCGGGTAGGCCCCCGAGCTCTGCCCTGGCAGAGACTCCGCACTCTTGCTGTCAGCGGCATCCAGTTCCGTTCTGTCCTTTTTCGAGCCCGGTTTGAGTTTATGCCAGATGCGCTTCTTTTTATCGCCACCGACTTCGTTTTTGCCTGAAGTTTGGCCTTCTTCGTTGTGCTCGTCACCAAACTTGGGGACCATGTCGTTGGCTGACCCACGTGTATCGTCACCTACTCCGTCGCTGGCCCGGAGGCCCTCCTCCACATCGTCATCACCATAACAAGCGGCGCCGCCGCGCACCTCCTTCTCCTCGTCTTCCGAATGCGCCTTCTTTCTGAAGCCAGGGATCTTTCCGACAAAGCGGCCTCCCAGGCCGACGTTGGTCTCCCTCACCGTCTCCTCCGTCTTCGGCTTCACCGTGGCCTCGGCGCCCCGCTCGGTCCTGCGAAGACGAACGCTTCTTTCCTGGCGTCGCCAGCATGCCCATCAGCCTTTTCCCCACACCATCAGACTCCTTCTCATCCATCTTTTTCTTATCGCCCTTCCCCTCCCCCTTGTCCTTGGACTTCCAAAACTTGCTCCCGCCTCCTTTGTCCGGTTTCCCGGCCACCTTGTCCAGCGGCTCCTGCTCGGCGCGGCTGTCCTGGGCCCGGTCGGAGTCGGTGACGCCGTCCGCCGGCTCCACCACAAACGTCTGCGAGCCGCGCCAGTGGCCGTTGCTGGCGTCGGAGGCGGAGCGTGCGCCGCGGCGGCCCGTCTGACGACCGGTGGCTGCCGACGCCTCCCCAACCGAGGGTCGGCCCTCGGACAGAGCCGGGGCCGGCTCCTCCTCCCGCCATTGCTGCGGCAGGGCGGCGCGGCGCCGTGGCTGCTGCTGCTGCTGCTGCTGCTGCTGCGACGGGGGCTGAGGCGGCACCATGGGCGGCGCCTCGGCCGGGCGGCGGCTGCGGCCGCTGCCACCGATCATGCCGAGCGAGATGCCGCCACCGCCGGGGCCGCCGGGCCCGGGCCGCCGCCGCCGCTGCTGCCGGCCTACGGAGCCCACGCTGATGGCACGGCCGCGCGCCGGACGCGGCGGCTCGCTGTCTCCAAGGTCCGACGCCTGCGACGAGCCACTGAGGCGACGCCGGCGCCGGCGGCGGCCGCTGCCAACGGCCACGCCGCCGCCGACCGGCAGCCGCGGCGGCTGGCCTGGCTGGCGGCGGCGCCGGCCGCTGGCGCCGGCCGCGGCGCCGCGCTCGGGCGCCGCATGACGTGACATGTCGGCGCCCTGCGCCACGGCCACCGTCGGCGGGCCAGACGTCAGCAACATGAAGTCGCGCGCCTCGCCACCGCACGCGCCCACCAGCAGCGGCGAGCGCGGCCGCACCCCCGCCGCGGCGCCCTCGGTGTCGGCGCGGCGGCGGCGGCGGCGCGCCCCCGCCCGCCTCCAGCGGCTCGACGGGCACCTCGGGCAGCGAGAGCGTCTCGCTGTCGCTCCACAGCGCCTGGTGTGCGCCAGCCGTCTTGGGCGGCACCGCCGGCGGTTCGTCGGCGAGCTGGGCGGAGGGGCGCGGCACCGGATCGGCGGCCGACAGGTGCAGTGCCGGCTGCGAGGACGTCAGCGTGGCCGACGCCGACTCCAGGTCCGGCTCCGGCCACCAGGGCTCGCCCAGCGCGTACGACGAGCCGTAGGCGCGGTCCAGTCGGCCGCCGCGCCGCTGCGCGCTGTCCAGGTAGCCCTGCGAGGACGAGCGCCGCGGGCGCTCCAGCTGGTACGAGTCCTCGCTGTCGGCCAGCGACGAGTCCGAGTTGTAGAGGCTGTTGCGACGCGAGCGGTGGCCCTAGAATGGCCGCGGATCGGTTAGTCGGCGGCACGCGGCGAGGGGCGCTGCCTCAGATAGCGGGCGCATGCAGTGAGTGCCCAGCCAGGCATCAGGCACACAGCGTCTGCGAGGCCGGCTGGGATCCAGATAGTCAGCTCAGCTGGCGTTATCAAGAGAACGGTGCGATGCATTAGTCGCGTGCGAGTGGCGTGCTAGCTCTAATAGACACTGTTGACGGCGAGCCATTCAACTGATTACCTCCGGTGCTGCTCATGCAGACCTCCGCGCAGCTACTAGACGCTCGGTAATGCACATCCAGACCTCCACACCTTCCCTGAATGCATTCCAGTCATGCAATCACCATTATTTTGCACTCCAATCAAACGTCACCGGCGCCGCGCTCCCCGAGCCGTCAGCGCCTGGGCGTCGGGCGGCGCCGACCGGGGCCAGCTGCCCCTGGCCGGCTGAGGGCGAGGGGGAGCGGACTCACAGTGCGCTCCTTGGGCCGGTCGTCCTCCAGTCCGGGGATCTGCTCTGGCGCCTCTGTCAGCGTGTGTCGCTTCACGTCGCCGTCGCGCGCCTCGCGGGCGCCGGCGCCGATCGCTGTCGGCACAGGACGCCACCAGTCACCGCGCTGACTGTGGAGACCGTGGGGCTGTGGAAATCCCCCCCCCCCCCTGACTGTGGGGACTGTAGGAACCCCTCCTCTGACTGTGGGGACGTCCCTGACTGTGGGGACTATAGGGACCTCCCCTGACTTGGGGACTGTGGGAACCCCTGACTGTAAGGACTGTGCGGACTGTGGGGAACCCTCCCCTGACTGTGGGGACTATGGGGACCCCTGAATGTGGGGACTGTGGGGACCCTCCCCCTGACTGTGGGGACTATGGTGACCCTCTGACTTCAGAGACTGCGGGGACCCCTCCCCTGACTGAAGGGACCCCTGTTTATGGGGGCTGTGGGGACCCCTCCCCTGACTGTGGGGATCCCCTCTGACTGTGGGGACTGCAGGGACCCCTGACAGTGAGGACCCTCCCCTGTGGTGACTTTAGGGACCCCTCGCCTGACTGTGGGGACCCCTGACTGTGGGGACTGTGGCGACTACTCCCCTGACTGTGGGGACTGTGGGGACCCCTGACTGTGGGGACTGTGGCGACCCCTCCCCTGACTGTGGAGACGCTGGCAAGGCGCTGTGATGTTGCTCTTGACCTGGCCAGACCACGAGTAATCATCACTCACTCACATAAGGCCACACCCACCAACTCAGCTATCCTAACAGCACAGGCAGACCAGCACAGGTCTGGTTCAGTGAGGTCTATTCAGGTGCCTCAGGCCAGGTCAGGTCAGATCCGGGCGGCACAGTCAACGTGACCCAGGGCGGCTGCCGACCGACGGTGCGGATCGACCGACAGTGGGATCGACCGACGGTGGGATCGACCGCCGATGGTGTCGACCGACGGTGGGGGTCGACCGACGGTGGGATCGACCGCCGATGGTGTCGACAGACGGTGGGGTCGACTGATGGTGGGATCAACCGACGGTGGGACGAGGTCACATCAGGTCTGGTGCTGACCAGGTCTGTTGAGATGGTGTGAAGGGTATGGTGGGGTGAAACGGTGTCCGGTGGCACCTGGCGCCATCGGGTCAAGTCACGGCAGGTCAGGCTTGGACAGACCACACAAAGCCGGGGTCCGGCAGGGCCAGGTCAGGGCGGCCCGATCCAGCCGGGACGCCGCGGGGCGCAGGTCGGGCGCGGTCCACGCTCACGTTCCATGCTGCGGCTGGAGACGCCGCGGCCGCTGAGGGCACGCCGGAACTGCGGGGACGGCCGGTCCAGCTGCTGCGCCCGCAGCCGCGTCTGGTACTGCGTCAGGCCCGAGTAGCGGAACCTGGAGCCCAGGCGGGGCAGGCTGTCCCGACTCGGCGGCTCGGGCGACATCAGCCTGCCGATCACCACGGGGTCAGGTCAGGTCAGGTCAGGTGACGGGGGGCCAGCCGAGCCGGGTTGTGCCGCTCCAGCCGACAGTACACACAGCCGTGTCTCCAGGGAGGTACGCCGGTGACGCCACCCATGTCATACACGTCTGCCCAGATCAGTTCAGCGCCCGCCGAGACCAGAGCTCCCGTCAGCGTTCAACGTCCCGACTGTCACGCCAGCCGCTCCAGAGATACCCTCCAGTCCATATCAACACGCTCTCCCGAAGGTGCGGCTCAAAATCTGTTTGGGAGCCGCCCCCCCCCCCCCTTCACACACACACCACACCACACCACACCACACCACCACCACACCACACCACACCACACACCCGCCCCGGTAATGTAAGGCAACAATCACCTCAAAAGTCGCTAAAACACCAAAAAGAGTGGGAACCATTTTTCTCGGACGTCATCCTCAGGCACACCACCCAATGTCATGAAGCGCCGCCCCTGCACTCTCTGGTACTCGACTCTGACACTGAGGCGTGATCATGGCACAGCACCATTCCAATGACTAAATGGCTCGGTGGTCACTCGATGGAGATCACCGGTCGGCCACCAGCATGATCTCAACGGCGGAGATCACCAGCCGGCCACCAGCATGATCTCAACGGCGGAGATCACCAGCCAGCCATGACGTCATGGTTAAATCTGGCATGATTCGCTAGCTCGTAAACATAGGTCGCTACATGTCACGGAGCGCGTGCCAACAAACCGGAAAAAGGTGTGATGCTCCACACAAATCTTCCATATCTGCTTGGCCTTCCTGTGGTTGGTCAGCTTGAAGCCGATGGTGGTCATGTGACGCTCAAACTCGCCGGGCCGAACCTTCACGTAGAAGTTGTTTCGCTTGTACGAAATCTTGAGAATTTTCGGCCAGGCAAAGCGGTTTATCCGCAGTCTGAAATGGCGTTTTAGGCGTTGTTATTTCAAGCACACCTGCATCGCCATAAAACATGGTGGAACGATAAACAGGCCGTGCTGGTGCCGGCGACTGGCAGCCGGCGCTGGCCTCCGCCGTCACAGCCCACCTCCCGCCTTCCATCCCACCCTGTCAGGCGTCTGGCAGCTGGCGCCAGCCTCTGCCGTCACAGCCAACCTCCCGCCTTCCATCCCACCCCGTCAGGCGTCTGGCAGCCGGCGCTGGCCTCTGCCGTCACAGCCAACCTCCCGCCTTCCATCCCACCCCGTCAGGCGTCTGGCAGCCGGCGCTGGCCTCTGCCGTCACAGTCCACCTCCCGCCTTCCATCCCACCCCGTCAGGCGTCTGGCAGCCGGCGCTGGCCTCTGCCGTCACAGCCCACCTCCCGCCTTCCATCCCACCCCGTCCGGCGTCTGGCAGCCGACGCTGGCCTCTGCCGCCACAGACCACCTCCCGCCTTCCATCCCACCCCGTCAGGCGCCTGGCAGCCGGCGCTGGCCTCTGCCGTCACAGCCCACCTCCCACCTTCCATCCCACCCGTCAGGCGTCTGGCAGCCGGCGCTGGCCTCTGCCGTCACAGTCCACCTCCCGCCTTCCATCCCACCCCGTCAGGCGTCTGGCAGCCGGCGCTGGCTTCTGCCGTCACAGCCCACCTCCCACCTTCCATCCCATCCGTCAGGCGTCTGGCAGCCGGCGCTGGCCTCTGCCGTCACAGTCCACCTCCCGCCTTCCATCCCACCCCGTCAGGCGTCTGGCAGCCGGCGCTGGCCTCTGCCGCCACAGTCCACCTCCCGCCTTCCATCCCACCCCGTCAGGCGCCTGGCAGCCGGCGCCAGCCTCTGCCGTCACAGTCCACCTCCCGCCTTCCATCCCACCCCGTCAGGCGTCTGGCAGCCGGCGCTGGCCTCTGCCGTCACAGCCCACCTCCCACCTTCCATCCCATCCGTCAGGCGTCTGGCAGCCGGCGCAGGCCTCTGCCGTCACAGTCCACCTCCCGCCTTCCATCCCACCCCGTCAGGCGTCTGGCAGCCGGCGCTGGCCTCTGCCGCCACAGTCCACCTCCCGCCTTCCATCCCACCCCGTCAGGCGCCTGGCAGCCGGCGCTGGCCTCTGCCGTCACAGCCCACCTCCCACCTTCCATCCCACCCGTCAGGCGTCTGGCAGCCGGCGCTGGCCTCTGCCGTCACAGTCCACCTCCCGCCTTCCATCCCACCCCGTCAGGCGTCTGGCAGCCGGCGCTGGCCTCTGCCGTCACAGCCCACCTCCCACCTTCCATCCCATCCGTCAGGCGTCTGGCAGCCGGCGCAGGCCTCTGCCGTCACAGTCCACTTCCCGCCTTCCATCCCACCCGTCAGGCGTCTGGCAGCCGGCGCTGGCCTCTGCCGTCACAGCCCACCTCCCGCCTTCCATCCCACCCCGGCCCGTGTCTGGAAGCCCACTCCGGCCGCGCACGCACTTGTCCCTATAGACGAGGATGCCGGAGGCGCAGACTCCCAGCATGATGTCCACGTTCTCCGAGTCTTTGGCCGGGTGCAGGTCCACGCCGTACATGGCCAGCTTCTTGGCGTTCTCCAGGTAGTGCAGCTCGGCTTCGGACGGAGTCTGGCCCCTATCGCCGCAGGGAACCACAGGCCGTGTCAAACGGAGACGCATCGACTGAGCAGCGCTGCCCGCACTGAGCTCAATACACGCCAGTGACACCGGACATGTCGGCCAGCGATAGACAGCGAGCCTCGTCCCAGAGATCTGCCGTCGTGTGTTTAAGGTCCAAGACCGATCTGACCTTTCCGTCCAGGGCGCGACCTAAGCTGCGCGGTTCCGCCTAAGCCCCCGCTGCCGGCCTGGGTTCAGCCAACGGACAGCCGGCATCTGGCAGCCGTGATTTCGTCCGGAGCCGGCGCCACCGACCGCGGCCCTCACGCAGCCGTGCCGGCTCGTGACCCGACCGGGCGACTAGCCCGAGCCTGCCCCCCCCCCCTTCCCCGTCTTGGTGAGCGCCACGGCCCCGTGCCGTGGTTCGTGTCTGACCTCAGCGTCTTGTGCAGCTGGGCCACCTTCTCCTCCAGCTCGGCCGTCTGGTGGGGCGCCAGCTTGAAGTCGGCCAGGTAGCCCGGCCGGTGCTCGGCGGCGTCATAGTCGCCCAGCTCCGACTGCACCAGGAACGAGCCGAGCAGCGCGTGCGTGACGAACGAGCACGGCAGCCTGCGGTGGCGACGGCGACGGCGAGCCGGTCAGTGGAGCCAGCCGAGAGCCGGCGGGTGTGGGCACAGGCCGACCATGGCTTACACGGGCGGGGTCAAACGGTTGGATCTCCGGGTCGCCAGTGAGGGCCAGACAGATTTGGGTCCAAGTTGGAGAGGCCTAACGCTATGAGTCAGTGTACGGGTTGGACCCGTCTGCTCTACAGTCAAGGCCGACGGCGATACATCAGCACGACAGACGGGGGCCTAACGGGCCGTGTACTATGTGGTTCATCGCATGGATTGTGGTCGCGTGTTGGAGGACCACCGGGGCCAGTTTAGGAGATGGGCAACACCAAACTGCCAGTCCAAAGCAGCGATCCCAGAATCTCGGACAGGATACATGGCTGAATCTGCAATGGCCAGAACTTCGCAGACAAACACAAACAGATCACTCGACAGGTAAACTGAAGTCGGCTGGCACATGAAGGGCAAGTGTTGACTTCACTGACATCGCGTGTCTCCAAACAAATCAACGACAGCCTTGACAAAGACGCCATGTTTTTTCATAACAGAACAGAGGCAGGGACCCCACACAGCTTTTGGGACCACGGGTCGACCCCAGGCCAACGTCCTTCACAACTGTACAGTGATAGCGCGCTCACTTGTTGGTGATGATATCGTTGCGGATCTGCAGGCACAGCTGGTAGCGGGTGACATCCTCCTGCAGCTGGCTCGGGTCCAGCGGGTAGAACTTGACGGCGAAACGGAGCTCCCATGGCTCGCCTGCGGCAGGCGGCGCCGTCACCACACTGCCGCTCTGGGCCGGAGCCTGGCGCCTGCCCTGGCGCGTTACCAATTGGCGTGTTCTGACGACTCGGAGCGCACAAAAATGGAAACAAAGACTATCCGCCATCAGCGTTTGTTCTGAGCGCCCCACACGGCGTTGTGTGTGACTGACACCCAGTGAGGCACGCTGCCGTTATATCTAACTGGAAAGGTAACCCGTCCCCGGGTGGCCGGTTTAATGCGACGTGCTCGGGCAGATGGGGTGGGGTGGGGGCGGCTCGATTTCACCCCGCTGACATCTCCAAAACAAAGGAGGCTACATACACCAGATTCACAAGGTCGGTGAGGCTCCACGAGAACGTAAATGAGTCAACTTTTGAGGTATTACGTCGAGATTCGGGTCAAATAAGGTCACATAACATCGAAATCCAGATCGGTGCCCGAAGCGCCCTCGGGTCTCCTAACGCAACCGGCTTTATCCTGGATACCAGTTTAACCAGAGTGTTACAGGTGTGAACATGAGGCCAGTGACCTTAGCCGATATTTAAACGGGAAAATAATCAAGAATCTTTGATGTCATCTACTAATTTGCATTTACAATCGGCGCCAAAGACTACCTTGGGCAGTACGGTCCCCAAAGTCAGTGGCTGATCGATGTCAGCTCAGGTTAGTGGCCTATTGTAACCCTCAGCTAGTCAAAATACGAATTTGTTGACATTAATTTGATCCAGGAAATCGAAACGAACGTCAAGAGCTATCCCGTACTGCAAGCTTTCCAGCAATAAAACAAGTTGTTTTTTACCTCGATTTGACCTTACATTACCCAAGGTCAGTAACATTAGCCGCTGCATGACCTCCAGCAATCGATGCAGCCAAAACCCCAAGTGGAAGAAGCGGTTATCCTCCGTTCAGTTGTCTTATCGTCTACGAAACAACCTTGAAGTTCCATGACTTCGTCTTAAACTCCACTGATGCGTCATATTGAACGAATCCCTCGGAATGACCTTCACAGACAGCAGTGACCTGTATTAGCCTGTAATACGTCAGCGACCTTACGAGGTATGCCTAAGTTGTATACCAAATGACTGGCTATTCAATTGTCTGTGGCTATCAAAATAACGCGCGCCGCGCCATTGGGAAGCTATCTCAGAAAAATAACTTGGGAGTGGGGGTCAAAATGACCCTTTACGGAGTGCTAGGCGCCTATGACCGCCATATTAATATCAGGGTCCATGGTGCAAGTAGGCCGCGACCCCTCACGTGAAGCCGAGGGCGCTGGCCAATTGGCGGCTACGTTGCTAGGTGAGGTAGACTCCTGGTCACTTTTGCCATCAGTGGCGATTGGTACGTAAATGCAGCATTGTGAACATCACCAGGACCACACCAAGACCGTCATTCTGACATGATAAATGAGCGTCGGTGGCGGTGGTGTCACATTAGCATATACCTCTCAGAAAAAAATGATTCCAGGCTGGCTGTCAACAGTTACGGGGTGAGGGAGCGAAGTGAAGATCCTAAGAGTCTAAAGAGCATTGCAGCTTAATTCGATGGCCAACTTGCACGCTGGGGCTCAGCACTATCATCCTTGTCTCTGACACCAGGCGCTCCAGCGGGCTGTTCCAGCTGGCGTCCAACTAGCATCCACGTCCAACGCCTTGCCCGCTGTCATGCCACAGTGGGATACTTTCCCAGGCGTCTAGCCCCCAGCAACGCCGACACTTTCCCGGCGTCTAGCCCCCAGCGACGCCGACACTTTCCCGGCGTCTAGCCCCCAGCAACGCCGACACTTTCCCGGCGTCTAGCCTCCAGCGACGCCGACACTTTCCCGGTGACCAGCCCCCAGCGACGCCGACATTTTCCCCGGCGTCTGGCCCCCAGCGACGCCGACACTTTCCCGGCGTCTAGCCCCCAGCGACGCCGATACTTTCCCGGACGTCCCGCCACGAACAGCGCCGATATATGGGATTGGATAAATCATATTATATTGCTGATGAGCCACTGGGGCAGCCTCGAAGCACGGCACAGCCAACGATCATGCTCATAGCCGCAAACAGAGTGGCACGCATTTAGCGGCCGCATATCGACACCGTATTTCAGCAGCGTACCTTCACAAAATGAGCTGGGGGCTGCGCAGTGACAAATGGCCCAACCTGCCCCGAATATACCAACAAATAGGTTTCTCCCCAGATTTGACCCACTTCCTTCCCAAAGTTGGTGGGAAGGGGCTGGAGCCCAATTTGGATGCTCCATCCCCACCCCCTCCCCCCTCCCCCCAGCGCGAAACAGGAAACTACACCTCTGCAGCATTTCCTCCAGCTAAGAGTCAACTGCTCGGGTCCCTCCCTATAAATATTCCTCGACTTCCAATTTCTAAGTCCCTGCGCCTCAACAGTCGCCCTGACATTGGCCGTTCGCAGATCGGTTTCCACTTAGCGCGCACACCGTCACATCAGCCTCCCTCGCCGCAGAGCCGTAAATCCCCGGCCCGTGACGCGTCGTTTCGCATCTCCTCCGCTGGCCGCCGGTCCAAAGCCGAGCGTCGGCCGCGGCCCGTTGTGTCGCCGCCGCCCGGCTCGTGTATCGATTCCGGTTTGACTGCCGGGCAAGGGGTCGTTACGTGCCCGGTTGGCGCCAGTCTGTCGGCGGCCGGCCGTGGCGCCCCTCCGCGCCCCTCCCCGCTCCCCTGAGCGTCGGTTTCAGCTCGGTGGTTGCGGAGCGATGCCGACGCTGGCCAAACGTCTGGAGCCCGCCTGATGGGTCGGTCTGCGCACCTGCCGGCGGCGCTGGCAGCAGCCGGGCCGCCAGCGCGCCTCCGTTGTGAGGCGAGCACGCGGCTGTGGCGCCGACAGCGGCCGTTTTACACCGGCGCCTGGGGGTGTGTTCGGCGTCGGCGTTGTGGGGGCTCCTGCCGGCACGCCGTCGGGCGGAGGCCGCCGCGGCCGCGCCGGGCGGGGCCGCCGCACGGGTCTATGAGCGGGCGGGTGTGCCCCGAGACAACAAGCACGTGCCGGCGCTGCGCCAACGTGTGTCGGCCGGCCGACGGGCAGCCGCGAACCGAGTGGCGGCTATAGAGGAGCCCAACTGAGACACAGTTGCCCCGCGTGTCTCCTCGAGCCGACTCAGGGAACAAAGCAGCCGACGCAGCGTGTCGCCCGGCCTTTGCAGAACACAAGGGACGCGTCTTGAATACGTGGCCTTTAATGTGTAAGAAGACTGCGGAGCTCGTACTTGAACACTGAGCATTCCCCGCGAGGATTTATAGGACAGACTCGAGCTCTGTTAGCACCTGAAAAGATGCATGCGGTTTAGAGAAGCAGCAGTGGTAGCCTGCCCATCAACGGCTGACACATTCGTCCCGCTTGTTTCAGCATCCGTCACGGTACCCGGGGGGTACCCGAGGCCGTCACGACGCGCAGACACGCGCTGGCGTGACCAGCAGCCGCCAGTGCTGCCGCACAGCTCGGCCAGACGCCCCCCATCACGGTACGCTGCGGGCCCGGAGCTCAGGCGTCCCTTCCCCAGACGCGCGGCGAGCCCGCTCCCCAGGTCTGGACCCGGAGTCGGCCCCGACACTGTTTATCCAGCCGGAGGGACGACAGGCAGCGACGACTCTCCTCAAACAACAGGCACGCGACCAGCCCTCGCTGCCAGGCCCTCAGCCCATCTGGGTGGGGAAAGAACAGATGAAAAATGATGATCTGTGTGAGGCGCTGAAGTTCGCAGCCCCGCCCCCACTCCGTACAATAGGGAGCCGGGAAGGGGGCCAACACAATCTGTGAGGGCGCCTGTGATGGCGAACCACCACCGTTGTCGACTCCTCGCTTATCGACCTAGTTATGTTTCGCACCCAAACGGGCCTCCTGCGACAGGTGGATGAGCTCTCGCTGCGCAGACGGCTACCTTAGCCCACCAATGGCATGCATGTGATTAACGTCGTACAGGAATGCACTGCGCCGTGCTCGCCTTTTGATGTGTGCATCAAGCAGGTGCCGCCGCAGAAGTGTACGAACTTGGTCAAGATGCCGCAAAATAAGTTTAACGCCAGCGTTTCCTTCCCCAGCTTAATCAGGCTGATTGAAAGATTATCATTCTTGGAAGTGACAATCGTTGTGACGACAACACGACCTGCGCTAGGCTTGATCTCATGTACCCACAATGTGCGCAAAAGACGAACGATTTGACCCTGGTGTTGTGTCAATTACACACTATGAAAGGTATCCCAGAGCCACCTGTGCTGCAGATGTCGTCCTGGTCGAGATATTTAGATGCGTTTGGTCGGACTCAAAACGGCCTGGCGCTTTATCAATAACCACTGCAGACAACAGCTCGCCAGCCCAGCCTGCGCCGAGTCCAGCCAGCGAAACAACCGCTGTTGGGACGAGACCTCCGCGGTCAGGTCTCTACTGGACACCACCCTTCCACATTAAACCCTGTCAACACCCGGTCTCCCCGTACAGCGTGACCGACGGGGAGCGCGGTCTGACCGTACGGTGTGACCGGCGAGCAGCGCGTCGCTGTTCGTACAGCGTGACCGGCGAGCAGCGTGTCGCTGTTCGTACGGCGTGACCGGCGAGCAGCGCGTCACTGTCCGTACAGCGTGACCGGCGAGCAGTGCGTCGCTGTTCGTACAGCGTGACCGGCGAGCAGCGTGGTCTGACCGTACAGCTTGATCGGCGAGCAGCGCGGTCTGACCGTACAGCGTGACCGGCGAGCAGCGCAGTCTGTCCGCACAGCTTGATCGGCGAGCAGCGCGGTCTGACCGTACAGCGTGACCGGCGAGCAGCGCGGTCTGACCGTACAGCGCCGCTGAGCGGCCACAACAGGACGGGGTTGCCCAGGACACGGTCTTCAGTTTATCATTCGTCCCACCCTGGAGCGGGCGCACGCGAGGGTGTACAGCCAACATACTGTCCCATGCGGCGTTGAGGCCAGGCGCCATGCGTTCGACTCGCACCGGCCAGTTTTTTGTGGCGTGGGCGTCAGATAATGAGACATGA